TGAACAATTATTTAACAAAACTAATATGTAGGACTCGCAGTGATGACATACAATCAAGACAGAAGTCATGTAAAAGATAAGAAACATGAGCTCATATAAAAAATTTGTGTTCTCATCACAAAACGCTGCAGTGGCAAAGCATCAACAAAAGTCAAAATAACAAGCTGTTCTTGTACCAAAATGGAAAAAAAAAAAAACTCCTTTTCGTGGAACCAAGAAAATAATTAATTAATATTCAAGATATAAAAGGACCGAGCAGATATAAATTTATTTGTGGACTCATCATTTAATACTAAAAAAAAATGTGAAGCACCGTGGTGTTGAAAATCTCTTCTCCCTCCTCTTCTTTTTCTTTTTTTTTTTTTTCCTTTGTCTCTTTGTCTTTTCAGGGAAAAAAAAAATATTGATGACCCACGTAGGTGATGAAAACCAGTAGCTGGGCATTTGCCAGGCAAGATACTTGAGTAGGCACCTCACTCTGGGCAGCTCACAACTGGTGTCTGATTCCCACGTCAGTCCTGCAAGGCAGAGGACTGCGCTGGACTTCTTCTCTTTGCCCCTCTGGATGCACTTCCCCTTTGGACTTCTCCGAGCTCCACCTGGCTGAGCCCTAAGAACCATGACATCCCTTGCTTTCTGGGTGGAAGAATGAATAAGCCGGTCTGCCCTGCCTCTTAATGCACTTTCTGTGCAAGGACACAGTTCTTCTTAGTTTCTCACTAGCGCAGATGACACGCAGACAGCGCTGCTAGGAAAAGATCTACAGCCAATTCTCCCTTGTGATCACTTTTTTTACTTCTTCTGGCTTGCATCAGCGATCAGCATACCCCTCTGCCAGCATTTCTCTCAGCTGAGGGTCCATACTTCCTGATTGTAAAATGAGCTAAAATCCCATCTACTGCCACCCGGCCTGTAAGAAAGAGCTCAGGGACAACAGGAGGGATACTAAAAGGTTCTTCAGCTGAATCCTTTTATTGGTCCTGAACCTCCCACTGCTCTGGACTTCTCTCAGTATCTTTACCCTCCTAAATTTACCCAGTTCTGTAGTTTTCCTCTCCAGACTTCTTTACCCTGGTTAATTTTAGTGATACAGAAACGTCTCACAAATGTTATCTTGCTTTATTTTTAAATGTGTAGCACATACCTAGTCTGCCATTTGAAACCAAAACAACATCTTTTTCATAGCTAACAAATTTTATGAAAGTTGAACTCTGCGCACAGCTACGTTCCTTTATGTCTCAGAGCATCTGACTTGACACTTGCAACCTTGGATATACCTTGGATGTTATATCCCATCACCTTTACAATACTCTACTTGGATTATATTCATTAAAAATAAGTTATCTGGTCCAGGTGACTAAAGAAGACACAGACACCAGGAGGAAGGGGTTGTTGAGGGCGGATTCAGACTCTTCCTACTACCAAAGAGTTAATTTAGAATGGTACACTGTATGCAGTTATTCATCTCAGGCGGCCCTGTGACACACTAAATGTTGAGAAGAAAGAGTCAATCATGGGATAACTCTAAAGATATTAAGTGACTCGTCTTAATCATTCTAAGTTCAAAATCTTTATGTTAATTAGACATTTAAATGCAGGTTAAAAAATCAAAAGTGCATTATTGGGCTAAGTTATTTGCATTTCACAGTAACTCTGTGTACCAAGAATAATGACAGGAGTTAGGATGGTAACTGGGCCATCACCTTTAGTTACAACAGAACCCTTAGACAATGAGCTGTCATGATTCCCAGTTTAATTTGTTGAGGTGTCTGGGAAGAGAGGGGTCTGTCCATATTTACAGTATTGCTCCTCTCAGGAAAGGTAAATTTGTCAGCATCCCCTTGTCACAATGGCCTGTTGTTTTCTCACCCGAAGAAAGCTAGAAGTTCTTCTCAAACTTTGAATAATAGATAAGAGGGCACAAGATCTCTTCAAAGTTGCAAATCTCTACCTCCCAGGTAAAGTGGATATTAATGCCATTCAGGAACATGTCCCATAGTTGAGAATCTAAGCTAGTTACTTAGTCATTCCAACTTTATAGTTAAATTTTGTTTTATTTTGCTTTGTCTTTCTCAATGTCAATGAGCATTTTATTTAAAGCCAAGGATTTGAGTTTTAATGCTAAACCTAGACTGTGTATGCCTCAGGAATAAATTGATAATTTCTTATTGATTTTTTAAAAAATTAAAAATCACTGTAAACATATTTTTATTCTATGAAAAAGAAAAATGTAGGTGTAATAACACTGTGCAGGATATTTAGATTGGTTTTTAAGGGCAGTAAGTTATGTTTGATGAACTGTCTCTATGAAAAATTTTTTAAAGAAACCATATGACTATAGAGATTTATATTTCAAATGTTCATGTTTTACTTAGCTAAGAGAGAACATGACCATGTTCAGGAATCTGTTGGGTAGCAAAGTGAATATCTCATTTTGGGTGGGGAATATGGAAAAGAAAATTTTACAGAACAACCTTCAGAAGTTTCTCTTGGCTTTTCTATTGAATATCCTTTAAATTTTTCTTTTGATTGACCTCCTAAGGAGGAGTTATCTGAATTAATTAAATTTAAAAAGATAAATTAATTCACTTTTTACTTTGTCAGATCATCCTGGATGAATGGAAAGTAGAAGAAAGAAAATATATTCAGCAATTCCCTCCTTATCTTTCATGAAATTTAAAATTAAATCTTTTGGGGACCTTGCTTGTTCTTCTATCTTTCCCTTACATTTAGAATCATGTCCAGTGTCTATATCATCCCCAGGATCCAACATGTCCTAATCTCTGCCAGTCTCTTCTGTCCTCACATTCAACCTTGGTAACATGGCTCTGGCTACTCAGCTCTGTTTTTTTTCTTCCAATCCACAGTGGTTTTTTCCTATCTCTCAAGACCTTTTAGCTCACTGCACCTAGAAAAGTATGACTCACTCTTTTTCCTCCTTCAGTCCCTAATTAAACAGGCTTTCTCAGGGGACCCTATCTATCCTATCTACATTGTTGATCTCCGCTCACCACAGCCCCGCTTTCCTGCTTAACCTTCCAGCCCCATGGGAAGTAAACAATCCAGTCTTTGTCATGGTGCTGTATGGTTCTGTCAAATTAGCCTCTCTTATTTCTACAGGAATCATCTAAAACTTAAAGAATGTGTTTATTGCTTCTTCATATGCTCACTTTGGCTTGTTTACAGTATCCCTCCGAAACCAGAGTTAGACAGGCAGTGAGTATAGATAGGTAAACTGAGTCAGGTCCAATTAAGTAGGCCAACTTGAGTAAGTCCAGAAAGTTGGAGAGGGATTGAAATGCTAAGGCCTTCAGAACCTTCCCTCCACCCTTACCAAGGTAACCTGCCCCTGCTCCAACCTGCTGCTAAGGTCAGCTGTCCCAGGGCTTGTCTCTCCATAGTCACGTATGCAGGAAGGAGACAGATAAGGGAAAGAGAGCAGGAGAACAAAGGAGAGGCCTAGGTCATATAAAAATGAAAAACACCCTCGCTTCTTGGGATACCAGGAATGGTATTCCAAGATATGGCCCCCTTCCCCCTCCTGGGAGAAGTCTGTGTTATCCCTTTTTAAATAAATCTTGCTTTATAGGCTTGCCTCGGCGTGCTTCTCTAATGTTGCACTTCAACATAGGAGGAGCAGGACTCGTCGCCAGTGACCAGCAGTATCACCTCCTCACTGGAGTGCAAGCTACTGTAGCAGAGGCATCTTATTTCCTCGACACTCAATCCTCAGGATGGACATTATAAGATTCGGACTGAAACTCTTATTATGTGTCAAGTGACTCACAAGTGCTTTCCTTCTAACACTTTAATCAATTCTTTCACACACATTTGGAGTTGTTTTTATTAGTCCCAATTGTGTTGATGATGAATCTGAGACATAAAGAGATTGCAGAGCTCGTCAATGTCCCATTGCCTGCAAATAACCATGTATTGGGGTGAGCTGGAGCAATCTGGCCTCAAAGATGACACTGTTGACCTCAAAACTGTTCAGTACATAATCATTGCCTAGTAAATTGTTTTACATTATGGAAAATTTAACATATGGGAGAAATGGGGAGAAAAAGAAAGGCAAGTCTTGCTCAAGGACATTTCTTGTTAGTTCCGCCACTAATTCGGATGACTTCTTTCTTTTTCCTCTTCAGAACACAGATACCAGAATGTTTAACTAATGGATCCTAAGTGAGATAATATACAGGAAGGATCACACCTGGGAATTTCAAATGAGACATGAGTCAAGTCTAACATTGGATTTTACCCTAGTTACAAGTCCATCAGCCTGTTCTGTTCACGATAGCTACAAAACAAGAGACTCTCAGGTCAGAGGCAAAGAACTTTATCACTCATGCACAGGGCAAAACATGAACATCGGCACATTTATATCAGTTCCCATGTTTCCAAGTCCCATGATGAAGAAGTGATAAAGGGACACAAAGAGGCTTGCAATTAATCCTACACTTGCAGTGAGTTTTCACTGCAGCTGAGGAATAGGGGATTTGAAAATTTGCACTTCAAAAGTCAGCAAGTCTGCATGGTGCTGGTATGAGTTGTAAAGAGACAGTACCTCATCCTTAAAGGCTGTTTGTTGCAAATAAAACCCTGAGAATGGCTGTGACTAACAAGACACACAGGGGCAGAAGAGATCCAACAAGGACGGTGTCCTAGCAGCACTTTAGCTCATTTCTCAGAGGAAGAGACAACATTTTTGCTTGAAGGGGAAAAAAAACGGTAATTTTATATTTTCCTTACATATGTAAAATTAATTACATCCAAAATTAATATGATTTAATAAATTTTGTTATTTGTATTGAAAGATAATAGTATTCTATTTTAAAACCTGGTTTTTCACAGCTATCTTGGTTAAAAAAATGCGCATACATATCTCTACATTAAAGAAAAATTCATTTATTTGTCAGGTAAATATACACCAAGTGCAGATGGTCCCCAATGTAGGATATTTTGACTTGCATTATTTTTTTTTATTTTACCACAGTGTGAAGAAGATATGCATTCAGTAGAAGGAGTACCCTGAATTTATTATTTTGCTCTCTCTCAAGACAAACAATATGCCATATCATACTCTTTCCTGGTCCTGTCGGCAGTAGTGAACCTGAGCTCCGGGTCAGTATCTCCATGCAATTCCGGTAACAGCATCTTCCAAAACTCCCTGTTCCCTCCTCTCCTCCATCTCTTGATCCCCTTCCTCTACCGAATTTTCTATTATTATTTTTTAATGAGTACATTATAATTATGTCTAAAAGGAGGATCCATCGTGGTGTATTTGTACATGGACGTAGCGTAATGTGGCCACTTTTGTTTGCCAGAACTTTCTCAAGTTCTCCCCTCTGCAGTCTCTCTCCATCCCCTTCCTCTCGTTTCTGAATTTTTCTTGGGCATTTCCTATTGGTATGGATGCATTATAGCCCATGGCATCTGGAACCGGGCACGATTTCAAACTTTGCCATGCACTAGCCTTGGTATCTTGGCTCCTTGTTCCACTTTTCATCTTTAAATACATTTTTCTCGTGCTTTTAAGTGAAGCCCATAAATGCTATTGAAGAACATAGAAGAGTGGATCCTATTCCAAAAGATGAGAAATGCACTTTTACCCATAACAAATGAAAAACCATTACACTGTCATTTCTTAGCTAAATTGGAATAAGGACTCTATAAGAACAATGGAAAGTTGGCAACGCATTAGGCCCATTTAACATCCATTAATTAGCTTTTAATTAGACAAAAAGAGAAGAGAGACTAAGAATTCAGTGTTATCTAATTAAGATGGAATTTTAAAATGGGCTTCTCCAGAAAAGCTTGATCTCCTAGAAAGTACTAACCATCCTTTTAAAACCAATTACTCTAAGTCAAGGTTCTGAGAAGTAATTCAATGTTTGTTTTTACCAAGAAGAAATATTATGATGATAAAAAGAACCATCAACTAGCATCTTTAAAGGAGTAACATTCATCATGCAGACACTTAGTGATACAGAGTTAAAGTACAATTGCAGTTAAAAAAAAAATCTACATTGCATAATTAAATAATTTCAAAACCAAATACTCACATACTTACACTTCCCTTTGGTGAGTGTGTCTGACTGTCACATTCTTTTGAGTGATCTCTGCCACAGACACACACACATGTTTGAAAAATGACTCATTGCATTCTAAATTTTCTCTTAATCTACTTACCCCTTTCCATTTATGAACTGATAATTCATTTCATGTATTTATTTATTTATTTATTTATTTATTAAATATTTTTTTTTAAAGAGAGAGTGAGAGAGGAGAGAGAGAGAGAGAATTTTTAATATTTATTTTTTAGTTCTCGGCAGACACAACATCTTTGTTTGTATATGGTGCTGAGGATCGAGCCCGGGCCGCACGCATGCCAGGCGAGCGCGCTACCGCTTGAGCCACATCCCCAGCCCACATTTCATGTATTTAAAAGTAGAGTTTTACTTGACATCTTCCATCTGAATTTATTGAAAAGGCCACAAAATGAAAGTTGTCATATGGTTGCTTGTTGTTGGGTGACAGGTTTTTATAATAAGACATGTGATTCTTTTTATATGCATCTGCTGCGGAGCTGATTTTTAGTCAGGTGAATCTGAGTCACTTCTGTGATTAGAAGGAGGGTTAAATCCATGAATTCTACTTCATATAGCCCGATAGGGCATCTGTGATATCAACAAGCTCTGCCTGGCTCTTTTTTAGTCAAACCCTGTTATTAATTATCAACATAAAGTAAAATGAATAGATCTTAAATTTCAGTTTGATAAAATTTTATAAAATTTTAATAAATTTTAATAAACTCTACAGACAATAAGACCAAAGTGTAGAGTGTTATCAGTACCCCATGGTTTTTCCTCTTGTTCCCTTCCTCTCTAGAGGAAAGTAACCATTATTCTGACTTCTGCCATCAATTATTATTTTGTCCTTTTTTTGAATTTTATAAAATTAAAACATTAAAAAATATATTTTTACATTTGGCTCCTTTTGTTTAGTATTATGTTTGTAGGATTTATGAAATTTGCTGTTTCTGGCAATAGTTCATAAATCTCATCTCTATAATATTCTATTGTATGAATGAAACTAAATTTTTTAGTTTTACTGTACAAAAACCCTCGCCTTGATTTCATTTGGGGGCTATTATGAATAACTTGCTAAAAATAGTTTAGACATCGTTTGATGCACATATATGTTATATATGTAAAAAATAATTATTGGATCTTAGAGTACAAACATGTTGAAATTAATTAGACTACTAAATAATCTCCCTAAGTGGTTTTACCATTTGGTTGGTTTTTGGAGTACTGAGAATCAAATCCAGTGGCACTTTACCACTGAGCTACACCCCTAGCCCTTTTTATTTTACTTTAAGACAAGGTCTTGCTAAGTTGCTGAGGCTGGCCTGAAACTCAAAGATCTCCTGTCTCAAGCTCCCAAGTCACAGTACTTGGAAGTTGTAATCCCACCAACAATATATGAAATTCACTGTTGATATACAACCTCAACAATGTTGCACTTTGGCATTTTAGCAATTAGGTTGAATTGTGATTTAATTTCAATTACTCAATATTTTAACATCTTTTCATGTGCTAGTTAGGTCTTTTTACGTGCTTTCTGTTCTTTAGCCAAGCACCTGTTCAACATGTTTGCCCTTCCTGAAAATTTGAGTTGGTTTTTTTTTTTTTTTTGAAGTGAAAACATTTAAAGGAAGAAAAAAAAATATTGTAGGCATTTCCCTATTCTTGTTGTATATTTCTGTATGGTTCGAGTATTAAGATATGTATTCTCATTATTTGGTTCCTATGTTTGCTTTTAATCTCAGGTTTTAATTCACAGAAGGGCTCCATGTTAATGAGGTCCAATCTCACAGTCTTTTGCTTTGTGTGTGTGGTGCAAGCTCCCTACAACCCCAAGGTCAAAGGTAACTCACGCAATCTTCTGGGAGAATTCTTCTAGCAATTTTAAATGAAAGGTGGTAAAGATTGTTAGTATTCATTGTCCTTTGAAAACAGTTCATAAATACACAATCGATCCAGTATAATTTATTGAGAGACCATTTCCCCCTCTATGTGTAATGTGGTACCTAGCTATAAATCTGTAGACCCCGTACATATGTGGCTTTTTCTGGATTTTCTAATCTGTTCAAAGGCACTGGTTTTCCTTTTCTTGTACTAATATAGCACTATGCAAAGTCTTTGTAGGTGTTAGTGTCTTTTGAGACCTTCTGCTCCCTTCTTTGTTGAGATTTTCTTTAAACTTCTAAGCACTTTGCATTTCTTCATAAGTTTTGATTCAGCTTGTCAATTTCTACAAATACATATAACAAATTCCTGCCAGCATTTTGGATTATGCTAAATATATAGGCACATTTGGAGTAAAATATGTCATTTAAAATATTAGATCTTTTAATAAGAAGATAAGCATTATCTTTGTACTTCTCTTTGATTTTTAAGCTATTATAAATGAAATCACTTTTTTCAGGCATTTTATGTTCTAATTGTTCGTATTATGTAAAAATTCAATTATAGGCTGTGGTTTTTATGTTTTAATACATATTTTTATTCATAAACATCATATTTTCAATTACTTCCAATGCAAAATTGACCAGAAGTGGTGTAAAGAACATCCTTGTCTAGTTTTCTTTTTATTTATTTATTTATTTTTATCTCAGGAGATAAGTTTCTGAAAATTTAGCATTAAACATGATACACTTTCTTGTTGGAATTTGCAGATCAGCTTCACCAGACTAAATCATTTGGCTTCTGCTTCTCTGTGGGCCGACATGTCTTCCGAATATGGTTAAGAGTAGCTGAACAAATGGCAAAAAATCAGATTTCTGAAGGAATCTGAGTACAAAAGAAACAAGGAGGATTAAAGGGACTAAAACATCAAACAGAGAGACAAGAACTGCTCAGAGGCGGATGAGGACCTGCAGTTGCCTTTCCGGGATGGTATTTGCCAAATCAGAGCTGGCAAAAGAAGAGCAGGCTGGCTCAGCCCAGGCTTCAGACTCTTCTGGGGAATTAGCCGTCAATAGAGGTTTCAGCACTGGCTCAGGGGTGGAGTCAAGAAGTAGGAGCCCTGTGATACTGAAAGAGAGTTGTCTTCTCCTTCAACCTTTGTTTTATTCTGAAGCTTCCTGGGGCAAGATTCCCAAACACTAAGCCAAAAATATTCTCGTAAACACAATTAAAACTCATACCATCTCTGAGGGTCAGTGAAACCGAGACACCGTCCCCAAACAACCCAAGCAATCAAAAGTCTCAAGGGACCAGTCCCCCACCCCCCAGTGCTGGGCATCCAACCCTGGGCCTCATGCATGCTAGGCACCATGCAGGTAGAAATGTTTAGGATAATGCAATAGGGAGCATCGAACTAATAACATAGACCCAAATATATGTCTGTAAGTAGACTAAGAGTTGACTCCGTTTTTCAAGTTTTCAAGTTGACTCAGTTTTTTGAGTTTTCACATGACGACTTAAAATACTCAAGATGAATATACTCAAGAAGATAGAGAAAAGGAAGAAAATGTGGGTTAAAAATGGAGAATTTTACTAGAAGATTAACATCTATAAATAGATTTAGAGTAATACTGTGAAACAGAAAATGTGACATATGAGATCAAGAGCTCCAATGATGGGTGAGCAATGGATTAAACAGAAACGGCAAGATTTCTAACTGGAGAGGAAGGCAATAAAATGTACACAGACAACAGTAGAGGAAAAAACATAGCGAGAAATAGAAATGCAAGCAGGAGGCAGGCAGGCCTTAACTGTAGGGCATTAATAAATAATGGAGTCCCAGAAAAGAGGTGAGGGGAAATAGCAATATTAAGAGAAAAAAGAATGTTATTACTTTTTTTGTTGTTGTTTATCAAAGGCTCACGGGCAAATTAATGTGAGGTATTAAATGATGACATTATTCCAGTAAAAAGTTTTCAATTTAAATATCTCAACAATTTGTGTGTGTGTGTGTGTGAGTTTAGTTTAAAATAAATCTGAGTTTAGCGCCTTAAGAAGTTCTAACCTGAGAAGTTTAAAACTGAACGGGATTTTGAGGATGACTTACCCGTGACCTGTTCCTTTTATTTCTGAGGTCCCCAGGGATTCAAAGACTTGCCTTGGGCTCTAGAGAAGATATGCCTAAATTTTCCATTTTCTTTTTTTTTTTTTATGGAAATGTTGTCAAAGAGCCTTCTTACCAATATGACCCAATTAGTTGGAGGAAAGAAGCAAATATGTTCTTCTTTACTCTGCAGAATATTTAGTTTTATAAAATATTTTAGTTTTCTAAAAGTAGAAAGAGGATACTTTGAAAAATGGTTTGCTGATTGTTCTCATTTATCTCAATAGTTCTAAATTATATTTACCATAAATCATCAATTAGCCATTAGGATCACCAGCTCTTTTGTGGGACATTAGATTTGTACCATCTTATGAAGGTTCTTGATCATGTGAATTTTACAAGCCCTGCCTCATTTTCATTCTGGTTACCCATTCACTTGAACTTGGAGATATCCATCTCTCTACCTGGAGTAGTTTTGTATTGTCAAGTGCCCATAATAGAAGTCAGAATGTGATTCTTGATCTTCTACCTTTTATAGGCCATAGAGTTTGGGCAAATTATCTCAACTTCCTAAGCCTCAATTTCTTCATGTGGAAACTTAGGATAATATATAGCAACTGTGCAGTAGAATTTCACTTTTTTGTACCATTTTGTGTTTCTCAAATATTTCTTAATAAAATGTACTTCTTGCTAGCCTCAGCAACATACCAAGGCCCTAAGCAACTTAGCAAGACCCTGTTTCTAAATAAAATATAAAAAGGGCCAGGAATGTAGTTCAGCAGTTAAGCATCCCTGACTTCAATCCTCAGTACAAAAAAAAAAAAAAATGTATTTCTTCTTTAGTAAAAAAATTAATTTAAAAATAAAGGAATATTTTCTGGCACAGATGTTAAGGCAATTAAATTTAAATTATAAAAATAAAGCATTTAGAATAAGGGCTACTTTGTTTCATGAACCAAATTCTATCTAGCACATATTTTTTTGCAGAAAGGGTTTTATTGGAACTCATCCTTGTTCATTTGCTAATGTAGTAAATATGGTTACTTTCCTATTATTAAGACAAATACAATTGAATAGTTGCAACTTCAACTAAATAACCCTCAAGTTCTAAAATATATATATTATTAGATATTTTCAGAATAACTCACTGATTCCTGACTTAGAACATTGACTAACATAACTGCACATGTTAATTATTGCCATAAATAAATTACTTTTTTTTCAAAACAATAACAAAATCCAGACTTTATTATCCTTCTTAAAAACTGAAAAGTTTGATGACCATTTAGGACATCTACTATACACAAGCCAGCTCTTATGAATTCTACATTTAAAAAGCAATTTTGCAAAACACAAAATTTGCTGGTACACTTTTCTTTTCCTGTGGGTGAAAACAAATTTCTGGTATATTATTTTGTAATTTAAGACTAGCAACTTTGCACAGCTGGAATAAATATATTTTGTATTTGAATTAATGATTTATGGAGCCTTTTGAAAGCTACTAAGTTCTAGTTTGAGCTACTGGACATAATGTGGATTTATTTTCTAAAAATCTTCTTAAATCAAAAAAAGGTTTATTCACATTCAATAAAACATTTTAAAGGAAACTTTCCATCTGCTTTGTTCTGCTACATATGGCAACATTAAACATAGCACTTTTTGTTTCATTTCAAATAATTAATGTAAACACTGCAGAGGGAATAGTATGTATCTTAGAAAGGCAGAGGCAATTGTTGCCTGGAGTAAGAAAGATAGAAGCATATTTCTTTGTACTTGAAATGAATATCATTTATAAAGAAGGAGTTAGCTAGGAGAAAATGAATGAACTAAGTTTGTCTTACCAGAGAACTGCAGAAATCCCTGGCTTCTTCCTCAAACTATTCCTGGAAACCACCTTTAAAATTGTTCCCATGAAATGTTGGATCATAACCAATATGGAATCATCAAAGGGTTATTGTTGTAATAGCTAACACCAATAAATGCCACAGTGAGTCACTAGACATCTGTATTTACATGCTAGGGAATATGTCTTAGCTTTTATATCCAAACACAGGGTTATAATTATTATACATGAGTCCCCATTATCCCCAGGCAGGGCATTTACTAAGCACTCAGTAAATAATTGGTTATTGAATAACAACTAAATAGTTTAGAATGCATTATAAAGCAATCTGTCTAGATTGAGGAGGAATTTCAGTAATTATCAAAAATCCAAGATTTATAACATGATAACAAAATGTGGAGCACAAAGTTTCCAACAGAAGATTTATTTCTCTGATGCAAAGAAACTATGCAGCAAGCACCAACCATGAAAAATGAAGAAAGACTATGAGAAATAATGCATAGGGAAAATCATCAGAATTCAGTGATTCACTCAGTATGGAAGGATGAATTTAAAAAATGAACCAAGGGTGTTCCCAAGGGTATGGGAACATGTATTTCATAATAAATTCATCTAAAGACTAATCGACACTTTGAGAATGATGGCAAATCCCAGGATCAATTTAGATGCAATGAAGAAAAAAAAAAAGAATGTCAGGCTGAACTTTTGAATTTGGAAAGAAGAAAAAAAAAACTGTATGTTATTGGGACTCCGGACAATAGTTTGAAAACGTTATACACAACAGTGACAGGATCAAAATTACCTGAGGAAATGAGCCTGCATGTGATGGTTACAAAGCCATTGACAACATTGTCATTAGCCACCTTAGTGAAGTAATGAGATTGTAAAATAAGCTCACAGTCAAGCTGAGGTTTGAACACACAGAAGTGCAATAAAGGTGCTCTCAGAAAGCACATGTTTGAGGAACTGGACTGTTAGAGTCACAGCATAAGAAATAGCATTTTCATGTTTAGGATAGAACAAACCAAACATGTTTCCCTACAATAAGAGAATTAGCATAAGCCACAAACTCACACATGCAACAAATACAGAGAAAAATAGAAAGTGGTTTTAGAAAAGGAAAGAGAATCATTAGCAATGATCTGAATCTTTTTTTCTCTCTGCTCAGAGTTAAAGCCATTTAAGCCACATGCACAGTTCAGACCATATCAGTCTCCAAAAGTAAAATTCTCTTGAACAGAGTGCACAGAGAGAACACAAATCTCTCTTCTCTTTAATTACACACACACATAGGATAAAGTAGCAGTAGCAAATTGAAAATAGAGACCAGTTTATCTTGTCAGATCTTCTGGAAATTTATTTGACCTGATAAAGTTTTATAGCATCTTGGAAATAGACAATGAGACATCTCAAGAGTGAGAATCCAAGGTAAATTGTGACAAAGATATATCATTCCTTCCCAATGATGACCCCTTCAATTAACTTGCCTAATCCTATTTTATCCTTCAGAATGGAGTCCTGTAATAAATCCAATACCTCCCAATTTGGAGTTTTTATCATTGAGGATTTCATGCAGTAAACTTATTTTTGATTAACTGTTGACATCCTTTGAAAATAACCAGATACTCTGGAAAACAAAATCAATAAACAAAATGAAACCATCAATCAAAGGTTTGTTACATGTGTTTCTGATGTCTTCATGTCAAGATTTGTATCAAGACATTATTTTGAGATCTATGTCCCCAGAACTAGAAAGTAGAAAATCGCATAAATCTTAAAAATCCAAACTTAACTATGGTTATCAACTTTATTAAAACATTCTCAAAAAACCAAAACCATAAAATGAAAATGAAAAGAGTAACCTGTGGTGTGATGGGATTAGAAAACATTCATGAGTTTGCTCTTCAGCTTTCTGTTATTATACCAAAACATCTCAGATAATCAACTTAAAAAGATGAAAAGTTTATGTTGGCTAATCGTTTTGGGGATTATAGTCTGTGGTCAGTTTGTCTATTGCAGTTGGGCTTTGATAAGACAGCACATAAAAGAAGAGCAAGTGGGAGTCATGGTGGCCTGAGAGCAAAGAGAGAGACAGGAAGTGATGAAGTCCCATGATGCCTTTTAATGGCATGCCTTCAGTGACCGCTGATCTCCCATCTCTTAAAGTTTCTACTGCTTTCCAATAGTGCTAAGCTGGAAGCCAAACGTGTAACACAGAAGCATTCAGGGTACATTCTAGATCCAAACTGTAGCAAAGGGGGATCAAGCAATGGAAACCAGACCAAGGGTTTGTAACAGCTTTGCTGATGTCAGAGTGGTGTCTCTAGTCTAGATTTATGGATGTGCTGATCAGTTAAAGCATACTATTTAGCAGAATGCCTCCCTCCCCCACCCTCATGCAACATAAGAATATGATTAGCATAATCTGGTTTTCATGAAAAAAACACCACATTATGCTCTTTCAACAATGGGAAAGTTCATACAGACCTCTTTGACTTCTGACTGAGAAACGGCTTTGTCTACGAGGACGCTGGCTTCACCTAGAGCGTTAGTAGCCGGGGTGATGAGACAGAGTTGCAGCAATCCCCACTGCTGTTGGCATTGCCCCTCCGTCACACCTTCTCCATTCTTGTCCTCCAGTGACTCTGTCTGGATGCATTCCCTGTTTCTGGCAAGTGTCTGATTTGCTAGGAAGGAGGATGAAGCTACCATGGAGGTAACGGTTGTTGGCGGTGTTTGGTTTGTTTCAAAATGTACGTCATATTAGGAATAAACCTGAGACTTGGGAATAAAGCCACATCTGGGCTCTCAGAACAGAGGGCCTTGTCTGTGTGCCAGCTGGGCAGGGTGCAGCCACAACAACCCTTTACCGCCTGGCCTCAGGAGCAGAAATCTTGGGCCTGGCTGGTATTTTGAAGAAAACACATTTTAATAGAATAGAAACAAATTATTTAAATCATTGGAGGTTTCTGAGTCCCTCCACCATGAGGGGCGCTTCCCGCATTTGAACAGGGCAGAATTTAGGCTGGAGTTAATTCCCCACTTTA